TCATTATCGTTATTATCATGGTTGTTATTACAATTGTCATATCATCTTCATCCTTATTATGATCATAATTATCATTATTATAATAATTATCATTATTGTAATTACTGTTATCATTATTATTATTGTAATTGCTGTTATCATTATTATTATTACTATTATCATTATATTTACCATCATCATCATCATATCTATTGTTATTGCTATTATTATTTTTTATTATCATCATTATCATCATCATTACTAATTTTAGTATTGTTGTTATTATTACTATTATTATTATCATTTTATTAACATTGTCATTACTATTGTTATTGTCATTTTATATCATTTTATAAACTTTATTATCATCATTATCATTGTCATCATTAGTGCTATTGTTGCAATCATTATTATTCTTATAATCACTATTGTTGTTGTTATCATCATTTTATCATCATCATTTTCATTATTATTGATATGATTATTTGTCATTATCATCATGATTACCACCATCGCCCTTATTACCATTGTTATCATTATTGTTATTATCATCATCATTATTATCACTATTATAATTATTATCAATATTAACATTATTATTATTGTTATTATTATTATCCTTATTATTACTATCATTACTAGTATCATTACTATTACTGTTATTACTATTGTTATTACTATTACCATTAGGGTTCTCACTACTATCATTTTTATCATCACTAATGCAATTTCTTTTTAATCATTTTTATCATTGATATTGTTATCATTATTATTTTTCCGTAGTTATTACTGTTATTAGCATTATTAAAATCATTATTATCTTATCAGTATTATTATTTTTATTACCATTATCATCAGTATTATTATCATTATTATTATGATCATTATCATTATTATCATTATTATTATTATTGATGTTGTTGTTATCATAATCATCATTATCGTTAATGCGATCATCATCATTATGATCCTTTTCATAATAATCATTATCACCATTACTATTATTATCATGATTATCATCTTTATCATTGTTATTGTTATGACGATGATTATTATCAGTAGTGGTATTGTTAATATCATAATAATTATTATTTTCATTTTTGTTATTGTTTTAATTATCATTATGATTATCATTATTATCATTATTATTATTATCCTTATTATCATCATAATTATTATCATTATTATTTTTACTATCATTATTAATATCATCATTATTAATATATATTAGTATAATTATTATATTATTATTATTATTATTATTATTATTATTTATTATTATTATTATTATATTATTATTATATTATTATTATTATTATTATTATTATTATTATTATTATTATTATTATTACTATCATCATCAGTATCACTGTTCTTATTATTATCATTATTATCATTGTAGAATTGTGATAACTACAATGACATGTACCAGTGATTCCTGTGTAACCGCGGTATCATTAATATCTTCTCATTTATATAATATATCCTTTGTACTATACCGTGACAGCACTGTCGATGCTCGTCAGACTCATCACGGCTGCCGTCGGGTAAACATATTCGCTTGTCGATCTCCCCCAAAACATTTAACTTCAACTCTGATAGCATCTGGCCAGGTACCGGTTTCACTATTGTACCTACGATGGTAAAATCACAGGGAACTTTGGTCATCATGGTAAACGGATAGCGATGATATTCACGAACAACTTACTAGTCTTACCAGTGGTCGGAACACTGGTAAAGTTATCACGTGTTATCTCGTTCGGAAATCAATATATAAGCATTTTTTTTATTTCTTTATACCTGATAAGATGGGTATGATGGGAAACATATGTCACAATATGGACATGTCGCAGAAATGCAAATTTCACATGTAACTAGCAAGAATAAAATCCATACAAATTCTCGTCAAATTATAGATAGACATAGGCCTAGATTACGTTGTAGGGTTATGGAATCGATATTCATGTGAACTCTTAAAAAATATTTTTCTATGACATAATAATTACAAATTCTATAGAAAAAAACTATATGATATATAAAGAAGCAATACCAGCGTTAAACGAGTATAGCAACTGTGTCTGTCGGCATTTTAGCAAAGGACAGCAAACTCAAATGATATGGACAAGAATGAGCTTGAAACATTTCCTTTTTTGGCGATAGATGGCGAATTGTGTTTGGATCGGTTCTTTGGTTAACAATGATGAAAATAAATAGATAAAGCTGTTTGGACTGTTCCTTTGGTTTGCGGTAAACAATAATATATGATGGATATAATTAAATAAAACTTTATTATTTTTTCTACATACGCTTAATTGATGTTTTAGTTGTGACAATGATTTTTTTATATCTCGCTGTGTCTAGTTCTGTTTACCTAAAAGATTATCTCTTTAAAATCTGTTGGCTACAATTAGAATGAGTCGATTCACGATTGTAACTCAATCGATACGGGTTACTATTTCTTCGTGAATCCCACTTTGTCATCACTGGTAAATGCAATGGTAAATACCGCTGGGAAATGCGTTACCACGGTTGATTCTTTCATGCAATCTAGTCAATGCTGTGAATTTCTCTATCATTACAAGTGTTATCATATTATGATTATTATTATTATTGTTATTATTATTATCATTGCCTCTTTCAGGAAGGTTATGATTTCAATAGTCGTAGTAAGTAGTAGAACTCGAAAAGTTATGAACGTTGTTATTATTATCATCATTATTTTTGTCATTATCAAAATTATTATGATTATTATCATTATTTTTGTCATTATCATAATCATTATTATAATGTGTTAGTATTTTCATTATCATTGATTTTTATCATATTATTATTAACTGCATCGTTTTATCATCATTACTGTTATTATTATTTTGATTCATTCATTATTGTTATTGATATTATTATCATCATCAATATTGTTATAAATAATATCACTACTGGCATAAATAGTATTTCTTATTCTTATTGATATTATTGTTATTGTTATATATTATGATTATGATTATCGTCATTATTATTATTATTATTTCCATCATTATATTATCATTGTTATTATTTCATCATGATAATAATAATGATTGTTATTATACTTATTATTGTTATTATCATTATTATTACTGTTATCAACATTGTTACTCATACATTTATTACATTCGTGATATCTTGTTATTATATCTATTATTTTTGTATCATTTTTATTATATGCATTATTTTTGTATCATTGCTATTATTTTCATTATTATTGTTACAATCATCAGTATCAATGCTATCATTATCAATGTTGCTTTTATATTCATTTTTTCTATTTCCATTGTAATTATCATTACCATTGTCATTATCTTTACTTTTTTGTCATGTCATCATTAATATCATTGATATGTTCATGATAATCATTTTCGCTTATCATCTCATTAACAAATATCATTGTTGTTGTTCTTGTTAGGATTGTTGTTATTATTATTATCATTGTAATTATCATTGTTAATGTTATTATTATTGTTTTGATCTTGTTTTCATTATCATTATCATTATTTTCATCATTATTATTGTTGTTGTTGATGAAATTGTTGTTATTCTTGCTATCAATACTATTATCATTTTTATGTTTACCGTTGTTATTGTTGTTATTGTTATTATGAATATTATCATCATTATCATTGTTATCATTACCTTTATAATTATTGTTACTATCATTTTGACTACTATTATAATTATTATTATTATTATTATAATTATTATTATCCTCATTATTATTATTATTATTATTATTATTATTATTATTATTATTATTATTATTATTATTATTATTATTATCATTATTATTATTATCATCATCATTATAATCATTATCATTATCGTCATCATTATCCACATTATTACTATTATTGTTGTTGTTATTGTTACTATTACCATGATGATGATGTTATTGTAATCATTATGATTATCATTATTATTTTCATTAGCATTATTGTTATTCTTATTATCATAATTAATATTATTATTATTATTATTATCATTATCATCATCATCATTGTTATTATTATTATCATATTTATCACAATTTTTATATGATTATCCTTATTATTGTTATTATTACTTCTGTTGATATCATTACTATCATTATTATCATTTCGGTTATTATTTTTATGATCAATTATTATCATAATAATTATCATTATTGTTACTGATCTTATTATTATCATCATTACTGTTATTATCATTAGTATTGTTATTATTGATACTATTACTACTATTTCCATTATCACTTATTATCATTTCTCTTATTATTACTTGTTTTTTTAACTATCACTAATTTTCATTATTTTCGTCAAAATTATCACCATTCTTGTCATTATCATTATTGTCATAATTTCCATTATTATCAGCATTATTATCATTAATGTTATTCTTATCAATATTATTATTATTGTTATAGTAGCTATTATTGTTTCTATTATTTCAATATTGTTATTATTTTCAATATCATTATCATTATTGTTCATTGACATTGTTATCATCATTTATTATGATTATTTTTTTATCTAAGCGATTATCAATGTTATCAGTATTATCAATCATTATTATCATCATCATCATTAGCAGTAGTAGCTTTCGTACTGTTAGTAGTAGTATTGTTACCATTGTTATGATTATCATTATTACTACTGTTTATTGTTATTACTGTTGCTACCTTTGTTCTTATGTCACCTTCCTTATATATATATATATATATATATATATATATATATATATATATATATATATATATGTGTGTGTGTGTGTGTGTGTGTGTGTGTGTGTGTGTGTGTGTGTGTGTGTTGTGTGTTGTGTGTGTGTGCATGTATCTATATATGTATATATTTACATATAAATATATATGTGTGTGTTTTACATGGAACCATACATGTGTGTGCGCATACATATTCATACATATTATTATTTATATATGTACATATTATCCTGCATTATCCTGCTTGCTTTTGCATGTGTAGATTTTCTTATCGGGAACCACTGACCTTCAGGCGTAGTTCGCACGTGTCGGAGGGCGCGGGCGGTCGGAATCATGTGGTCATGGGCGGCCTGGGGCAGCCTCCTCGTCGCCGTCGCCGCCGCCGTGGCCGCTCGCAGGAAGTCGCGGCCGGAGCGGGAAATTGAGGCGGACGGGCGCGTCGTGGTGGTAACCGGGTGCGACAGTGGCATCGGGTACGCCCTGGCGCTGCGGGCGCGGGCGTGGGGCTTCACTGTGATTGCCACTTGCCTCTCCACCCTCTCAATCCCCGCCCAGCAGCTTCAAGATGCGGGCGTGATCGTCGTGCACCTCGACCTGCGCCGAATGGAGGGCGTCGAGCACCTGAAGAAAACGATCGCGCGCCTTCAGGAGGAGCGGAAGAGTGAGTACATCTCCCTCTTACGTCATGGAGGAAGAGGCATTCAAGTCCCATGAATATCTGGTTAAGCATCAAGGTCAGTGAATCAATACTTAATAAGAATAGATCGACATTCCACCATACAGCAGGCACACTACCATAATTACATTATCATCTCCATTTCTTTTTCAAACGTGCCCCGCAACGCACACAAGGAAAAATCGAACTTACAAAAGAAACAAACAAAATCTTGATCTTCCTTCCCCAGAGCTGTGGTGTCTAGTGAACAATGCTGGAGTTCTGACCTACGCGCATTGTGAGTGGCAGACGACTCCCATGGTGACCAGCCAGGTACTTGTCAACTTGACCGGGGCCATTCTCCTCACCCGCGACCTTCTGCCCGTCCTCAGGAGGAACAAAGGTGAGGATTTATGTCAAGTCCAAGTCCGCGGAGGAAGCTGGACTTGGGAAACAGGATAGTGCATGACCAGTATTATTGTTTTTATCATTACCATTACCATCACCATTGTTATTGCTATTATCTTTATTATTGTTACCATCATTATTATCAATGTTATCATTGTAATCATTATTATTGGCATTGCTATTGCTATTTTTATCATTATTATCATTATCATTATCATCACTATTATCATTATTATTATTACCGTCATTATTATCTTATCATTATTATTACTATTATGGATACGATTTTCATAGTTATTACTATAGTTATTTTTATTGTTATTATTATTACCATCATCATCATTAGTATCATTATCTTTATTATTGATATTATCTTCATTGTTATTATCATTATCGTCATAATCATTACTATTGTTGTTGTTATATTTACTATCATTATTGCTATTTTTCTTATCATTCTCCTAACATCATCATTATCATTTCTATTATTATTGTTATTATTAATATTATTATTATTATTATCATTACTATTATCATTACTATTACTATTATTATCATTATCATTATTATCATTATTATTATTACTATTATTATTATTATCATTATTATTATTTTATTCTTATTCTTATTATTACTATTATTATTATTATTATTATTATTATTGTTATTATTATTATTATTATCATTATTATTATTATTATTATTTCTATTATCATTATCATTATTATTATTATTATCATTGTTATCATTATTATCATTTTTCTGATATCTATTACTATTACTTTTATCACTGCCATCATCATTATCGTTAGTAGTATATTATTTATTATTTGTTATTTATTATTATTATTATTATTATTATTATTATTATTATTATCATCATCATCATCATCATCATCATCATCATCATCATCATCATCATCATCATCATCATCATCATCATCATCATCATTATTATTATTATTATTATTATCATTATTATCATTATTACTATTACTAATATCATTACTATTATTTTTTATCATTATTATTATCATTGTTATTTCTATTATTACTATTCCTAATATTATTACTATTGATATTATTATTATTATTATTATTATTATTATTATTATTATTATTATTATTATTATTATTATTATTATTATTATTATTATTATCATTATTATTGTCATCATCATTACTATCAGTATTTGTATGAGTATTAGTATTAGTATCAATAGTAGTATTACTATCATCATCATCGTTCTCATCTCATCATGATTATCACTATTATTATTGTTATCATTATTATTTATATCATTATTATCATTACTGTTTGATTATTTTTCATTGTAAATATTATTGCCATCATCATCATCATCATTATTATTATCACTATCATTATTGTTATTATTATAATTCATATTAATATTATTAATTATCATTACTGTTGTTTGATTATTTTTCATTGTAGATATTATTATCATCATCGCCATCATCACCATCATCAACATTATTATCACTATTATCGTTATTATTATTATTCATATCAATATTATTATCATTACTGTTTGATTACTTTTCATTGTAGATATTATTATCATTACCGTCATTATTATCAATGTCATCATCATTATCCTTATCATTACCAAAATCACTATTATCGTTAATTTTTATTATCATTATAATTATTGTTATCATTATCATTATTTTCTTCTTATTGTTTGTCTTTATTATTAACATTACTGTTACTGTTGTTATTGTTATCATCATTATTGTTACTATAATTATTGTTATTTCCCACTATTACAGTCGTTATTATCATAATAATTATTATCATTAGCTTCATTTCTCTAATGTTATTATTATGGTTATTGTCATCATCATTATTGTTGTTGCTGTTCTTGTTGTTATAATTATTATCATCGTCATTACTTCAAATTATCAATATTTTATTAGTAGTATTACGGTCAATATCTTTATAGTTTTTTATCAAAATTGTTATTATCATTATCATTATATTTATCATCATTGATACTAATTGATAATGATTTTGTTATTTTTATTACTATCATTATTATCAATATTGCTATTATTATTGCTATTTATTTCATAAATTATCATTATTATATTGTTATCATTATTGATGCTGTTATTTTAATTCTCATCATTATCATTATCACTAGTATTGCTTTTGCTCTTGTTATTATTTTTTTATTATTATCATTATTATCATCATCATTATCATCATCATCATTATCATAATCATTATCATTATTATCATCATCATTGTCATCTTTATCATTGAATATTATTTTCATTATAATAATTATCATCATCATAATTATTTACTTATCATTAGCATTAATAACATCAATAACATATTAACGCCACAAATATCTTTACCGTATTTTAACCCTCTTTCCACCGCCACACACAGGAAAAAAATGCTAACATTAGCGCAAAAAGCGGGAATGAAAGCGTGTAGCGCGACCAAAGCGAACAGCATCGGGGGGGAAGTTCGTGTTGGTAGCTTGGCCTCGTGTGTCGAAGGCGGTCAATTCTCGCTTACGCAAACAAAGCTAATTGCGGTTATCGCTATATATAAGCGAACATTACTCGGGGAACAAATTGTAGCCTATTACCGGTAATAGGATTATTTCTTTGTGCTGATTGGTTCGTAGATTTCGACTTGTGGAATATGAAGGGCTGACCTCAAAGGGTTTGGCTTTCGGAAAAGATGGAAGGAAAGGTTTGTTATCATTATTAATAGGAGTGTTATCATTGATACGGTTGGGATCGTCATTATTATTATAATTATTGGTAGTAGTATTTTTATCATTATTATCATTACTTTTATTATTATTAATGTTATATATTTCTTATTGTTATCATTATTACTATTGTTATTATCGTTATCACTATCATTATTATCATTATTATTATGATTATTATTAACATTATTATCATTATTATGATTATTATTAACATTATTATCCTTATGATTATTATTATTATCATTATTATTGATATTGTTATCTATATCATTGTTGTGACAGTTGTGTCGCCAACATCATTGCCAACATCATTATAACAGAACTTTATCACTATGATCCCTATCACTAATTTCACAATTCAATCACTCTCATCATCATTTCTACTCCTTGTTGTTCTTCCTTAACCATGCTTATTATTGCAATTTTTATTGTCATCATAATCATTGTTATTATCGTTATTGTCATTGTTGTTACTATAGTTACTGCTACTACTATTATTCATATTTTTTATTACCATTTTTGATTCTTGTTGTTATTATTATCATTGTTGTCTTTTACATTATTATTATTATAGCTATTATTATTATTGTTGATTTTGTTGTTGTTGTTATCATTATTGATATTGTCATTATCATTATTGTTATTATTGTTATGGTTATTATCATCAATATGATTATCATTATCATTATTACCTTTATCATTATTACTATCATCATAATTACTATCATTATCATTATGTGATTGTTATTATTACCATAATTATCATTATCAATACTATTGTCATTATCATCATTATTACTATTGTCATTATCATCATTATTATTAATATCATTATATTTCTTAATAGTAGTAGTAGTAGTAGCAACACTGTTTTATATATATTATCATAATTATAAATAGTAGCAGAAGTATCCATTATTCGTTTGATTGGCATCGCTGCAGGTCGTGTGGTGAACGTGTCCTCTCCTTCCGGCCAGCTGGCGTCGCCCTTCATGAGTGTTTACTGCGCGAGCAAGTGGGGTCTGGAGGGGTACAGCCAGGCCCTTCGTCGCGAGGTGGCGCCCTTCGGAGTCTCCGTTGTTGTGGTCCGCCCTTGTGAGCTAGTCGATGTGTGAATACGCTTGCTGAAGTCCATGGCTTTGGGGGAATTTGGTCTTTTTTCTTCATATTTCTTTTGCCTGTTTTTGTTGGTTTATGTTTAAAAGGTTATGTTTCATACTGCTAAGGGAATGGGAACTTTTGGAATTGCATGCAAAGGGAACGTATAGTCATTATGTAATATTTCTTCAAGGTTAAAGGTGTATTTGTTAATTAAGCATATATTTTAGTCTTGTTAGTCACCCAAAGGTGAATGATATTTAAATAGATGTTCTTAAAAAGAGGGAATGTAAATAGATTGATTCTTGATGGATGCGAGTCTGCATACACCTACATATATATAAGTAAGCATTTGTTTGTTTTTGTGCATTTGCATGTGTCTATTGCTGCGTACACTTGTGCTTAGCTAGTGAGTTTCAAGATCCATTTAAAAGACAAACAAGCTCGTTAGAACAAAGGCCTTGTGCCATAGTTGTGCATGTTTTTTTCTTCTTTTTTTCATTAACAGATATAAATTAAAGAAAATACAATGACGGAACATATAAGATAAAATCCAAAAGCATATGACTAACTTCCCCGTCCACAGGCAACCTCCCCAACCGCACGGGCATCCTGGTGGCCAACGCGGACCAGCTGCTCACCATGATGGCGGAGGCGGCGCCCGAAACCCGCGAGGACTACGGGCCTATGATCGAGCGGATGCAGAGGACCTTCCAGCAGTGCTTCGAGGGCGTGTCCGAGGTGCAGGATCTCCGCGACGATTACCTGATGCAGTGCTTTAGGTGAGGCAAGAGGCGCCGTCCAGGAGGAGAGTTGTCTGTTTGTGGCATCCATTCTGACCTCAATCAAGACTTTTAAACTGTCCAGATTGAAAATAATAATAAATATATGAATAACCAAATAAAATTCAATTGAGTTAGGAATTTAAAATGATAGTTTTGACATCAGACAATATGATTTTCATATGAATAATGGTATGAATATAAGAGAGCGTAAGATTAAATCTGGTTTCACATTAAAATGGCTGTGCACTACAATTACTTGTTTACGCAGAAGCAACAATGTATTTTTCTTATTGTTCACGTGGTATCATGAGCCTGCTTTCCTTCAGATATGCCATGATACTGGAACGGCCCGAAGCTGTATATTCTGCAGCGCCATTGGTCGTGAGGTTCGCCCTGTCGCTGTTCCAAGTCATTCCTACATCCTGGTTAGACGCCGTCGTCGGCAGAGACCTCCATAACTCTGTGCTGAGCCTCGCCGCGAACCAATAGTCGGGTCGGCCGGGTCGAGGGGCCTCGCGGGCCATTCCATGCTATCTAGTGCATACACATATGAACTATATATATATATTATATATATATATATATTATATATATATATATATATATATATATATATATATATACATATACATATATACATATATGTACATACACACACACACACACACAACACACACACACACACACACACACACACACACACACACACACACACACACACACACACACACACACACACATATATATATATATATATATGTGTGTGTGTGTGTGTGTGTGTGTGTGTGTGTATTCACATATATATTTGTATGTGTGTACACACACACACACACACACACACACACACACACACACACACACACACACACACACACACACACACACACACACACACACACACACACATTCACATACTTGAACGAAATCATCTGTCCCAATCTGATCTCTCTCGCCAATCTTTTCGTCTGCACCGTCCCCCGTGTCCCGGCGGCTCCAAGTTCGTCTTCGTTTCAAGATCCTTTCAAGATGACGCATTAGTTAGCTAGAAGAAAGATTCAAGCTTCGCGCAAAGAGAAATACCCAAGGCCTTGTTAATTAGCTGTACAGAGATTTTTTTATACTTTATGAAAATCTTCCAAATCTTTTTAAAAATCGCGGGTTTCTCAAATAGTTTTTTTTTTCTCTCTCCTGTAGAATGGTATCTTTACGTATGATAATATGAAATAACAGAATAAATATAATAAAACCATCAAAGATGTAATTGGCTTTCCCCCTTTCTACACGAATGATGCTTTGCATGTATGATGATACGGATAATGATAATTGGCAATAATGATAGTAATGATTGGTAATACTGATAATGATGCTAGGTAATAATGATAATGATAATGATGACTGGTAATAATGATAATTGATAATAGTGATAATGATGATTGGTAATAATAATGATAATTGGTAATAATGGTAATAATAGTTGATAATAATGGTAATGATGATATGGCCCAAATAAGGTAAGGCCCACACTGGTAATCCCAGTGATGGACATGATAAAAGAAAATGTATCAAAGCAAGAAAAATAAACCACAATAAACCACAAAATTGATGATGATGATAATATTACTAATATGGGAAAGACACTCAGAAAACTTTTTAAAAGTTTACAGGTCTGCTTCTTCTTTTGGACGAGAAATCTTTTTAGCAGAGCCATATCCTGACGAATTATCTAACATGCATTTCCTGGATTGCATTTTTTGACATGCATTTCCCGACATGCTTTTCCTGACATATATATCCTGGGCAGCATTTCCTGGCATGCATTTAGTGACACTTTTCCTGACAGGCCTTTTCAGACATCCATTTCCTGGCATCCATTTCCTATTATGCTTTTCCTGACATGCATTTCCAGACATCCATTTCCTGACATGCATTTCCTTTTATGCATTTCTTAACATGCGTGTGCTGTGCTGGAGCAGTGGTTAGCGTGTTGGACTAGCAGTCTTGCAGACCTGCGTTCAATCCCGCGCCCGGCCATCCTTGCACACAGGGGGAGATTTGGAAGCAAAATAAAACGGACAGCATGTCACAGTAAAGTATATCCATTGTAACAAATGGAATTGACTAATATATTATGCATTTCCTGATATGCATTTCCTGACATCCATCTCCTGACATGCATCTCTCAAAATACAAACAACTGGTGCTCAGCCATATTCAAACTACTCATCTTTTTACCACAGTCCATTGGAACCTTTTTATACAATCTTACTGGCAAAAACCCAGTTAGCCATTACATAGAAAAAAACAAGAGAAAAAGAATTAGCAAATGAAAACATAGAAGCCTTAAAATCAGCTGATAAACAATGTAACAGATATAACTTTTATTCATTGTTATCAAATACTGATATAATCCAGTATTAGTACATCAATACCACATGCAAAAAATATCAACAGGATGTTAAGTATAAATAAGAAGCTCTCTGAGACGAGAAGCCGCAGCTGTTAGCTTTCGTACAGAAAAGTTTCATTTATAGACAAACAAATAAAACTTTTACCTACCCTTAATATTCTACTAAATCTATCAATCTTTACCGCCAATCTCATCTATTCATCTACCATGGATTAGCGCCAATGTCTACATCTACTCCTCTACCATTTATTAGTCAAAATCCACTGGCTAATTCAACAGAAAATAGATAGAGCCGTCAATATAATCTGCGTCGGCCGGAGCTAGAGTTGCGAGGTTGATGTTAAGGACAATAATGATAACAATAACAACGATTATGATAATGATAACAATAATAACAATTATGATGATGATGATGATGATGATGATAATAATGATAATAATAATAGTAATAATAATAATGATAATAATAATAGTAATAATAATAATGATAATGATAATAGTAATAACGACAATAATAGTAATTATAATACCGATGATAATGATAATGATATTGTAGTAGTAGCAATTGTAGTAATGACAATAATGGTAATAATAATGATAGTGATCAGGATCAAAATGATGTCTTTAAGAGTATTAATAATCATCTGGAACGCGACGCCAAAGGAAATATAGCTATGCGTCTTTTACCCCAAGTATGAGGATAATAATGATAACAATAATAAAAAAGATAATAATAACAATAATAATGATAACAACAATTATGAAGATTAGATAATAGATATATAATAACAATAATGATAATGATGTTGATAATAATAATGACAATAATAATGATAGTGATAATGATAATAATAACCATTCCTTTCATCCGTCTCCGTTCCTCCCATTCTCCTCATCCTCCATTTTCCTCTCTCTTACTACCCATCCCTTCCTTCCTTTCCCTTTTCTCCCATTCTTTTCTCCCTTCTTCGTTTCCTTTTCATTCCTTCGTTCTCCTCTCCGCCCATCTTTTTCTCCATCTCTTTGCTTTCCTCTTCATTCTTCCCTTCCCTCCCATCCCCCTCATCCTTCTCTTTTCCTCTATTTTTACTCTTCATTTCTCCCTAATTTTCTTTCTCTTCTCTTCCTTTGCCTATTCCCCTCTCTCCCTTTGTTTTACCTCCCTTCTCCGTCTGAAATTTACTACTTCCGGTCCAAAAATAATATTTGGTTGTTCTATCTTTTATCTTGCTAAAATACCCGCAAGTGTGTGGTTTCCCCATTCAGTAACCGAAATCCATTATCAATAATTATATATATATATATATATATATATATATATATATATATATATATATATATATATATATATTTAAACGGTTTTTAACGTTTAAAAGTTGAAAAAAAGTAAAATTAATCGTTTTTGAAACGCTCGTAACGCAGAAAATATGCTCCTCTCCAGGAATCTTGAACCAGGTACCACAGTTTAAAAATAGTGCATGGCTGTATACGCATGTTGAAACGTGTGTAAGAAACAGACGATGTCAAGGCACCATTAAGATATCGCCTCATGGTTTATGTGCACGAATTACCGTTCTAGTGCATTCTGATGAAATTATTATGAAAGATATAGAACCGATTCTCTCTCTAGAATTAGAATTTAGGTACATTTTTGCACTTGTGTCTGCACCCTCTGACTTGTGACAGTAAAGCCTATAATTTCACAAAATCTCACAATGAAAACACATTTTCGTGACTTGTGAAAAATCTGCCTCACTGTTAGAGATGGATGAATTGATAATATAACATCAATTAATCCTGATATGCAATTATATTATTATCATTTATGAACTAACCGAGAAAACTTGGACAAGGTAGTTTAAGAATAAGAAAAAAATGAATGCAGATGATTAAAAAAACACCTACACATGGTACTGACAAATAATTAATAAACTATTAAAAATGACGTCTGAATGAAAAATTGTTTAATCATTTGGTACCTGTATTTCGGACGACAGTGAAAGTTAAATGAACTGCAACGATTAGAAAAAAATACCAATGAGGAAAGTCATCTTGGATAATTCTAAGATTTGCATGAGAAATGGCTTTGGTAGATCAGGGTAACAGAGACGATGGTAATTAACCAATTCCTGCAACAGTAAAGCTCACTTGAATGAGATAAGAGCTAAAAGAAAGCTTTAAAAAAGTGAAAACGTACTTTTAATCCCTCTACCCAGAAAAAAAAAAAACATGGGGGCAAAAATCATACGCTTATCAAGAGTTACAGAATGGAGTGGAGATAAGAAAGTGAGCTTTGAGGATATGCTAATAAAATAGCAGATTACCTCATGCTGGTTGCCTGTCACGTGATGGCTTTTCAAGTTTAGCTTCCGGTCTTTATTGACACCCGCTCTTGCAACATGTTTTCTGTGGCTTGGCAAAAAAGAATAGCATTTTGAATACTGCCAATCATATGGAAATAAATTACCAGACTTTATATCGAAAGGAGAAAGATAGCGAATGTACGAGGATAGATCCTAATTTTAGATCGCAGATGATGAAAGAACTGACAGTTGGCCGCCGAAGCCAAAGTCAGTGCAAGGTTTCGGAAAGGCTCAGGTTGTAAACATTAACAGCTGTATCATTCTGCCACGTATCATATTATCCGAAAATACATCAGTTTAGCAGAATTATGGCTAGGGAATAGAAGAGCACACGATTCTATCTAGATTACGAGACTTATGCTATGAAGAAAACGAACGTGAATGCATTAATTTTGTGAAGTGTTCGGCTTTACTGACGTGACGGACACCTGGAAGCCGCGACTGCAGGTTGAAGCAGGGGATGTCATTCGCTCCATTAAGGTCATTTTAAATTACCCAGAAGTAAATACTGTGTGTCAGTTCATCGTCATCGCCAACATGAGTACTGCGAAGCCTGAAATAAGTCCTGGCAAGATGCAGGTGAAGGAAAAAGAGAGAGGTAAGTAGGCCTACTGCAGACTCGCCTTTTTTTTTACGTTTGTCAATAGTAAACAAAAAAAGAAAAAAAAAATGTCATTGTCCAAAACATTCATGATTTGTCGATTTATTCCTAGTTTGCAGTAATTTACGTCAAATCAGTGTAGTTTATCAGTGTCAGAAAGTAAAAGGAAAAAATTGGTTGAAGTGATAAGATTAACAAAGGTTATTATTGATAAATTCATATGACAAACTGACCACAATTAATGCCCACAATTAATGCTTAAATATCTGTTCATGTCCAGTTCTTAATCAGAAGGCATTACTATTTTCCAGCCCAAATTTACAAGTGCAAAATATGTTCATTTATCAATCCAACTATCTGTACATCTATTTACATGGGTAACACAATTATGTGTCTCTACATTTTTAGATATTATGCATTTTAGTAGATTTATCAATTATAGAATGCCAAAAACAAGAATTTTGAAAGAAAGCTTTAGAACTCCAATGCAGAGAAAAGGGGTGTGGTCTGTCAAAAATATTTTATTTATGATTATTAATTCATTTTTGTTTGGCAATAATTAATTGGAGGAAATTGATAAACATTTGATTTTATAACTCTAAGGTCACCAAGTTCTGATGGAAACCAGAGAGCTAAAGTAATAGATGATATTATGAAAGAACCTGACAGAGAAACTCAAGCCATTAAAGTTTCTTCTGCAAAGGATAAGCATTTTTCTTGCACACTCTCTGATTAATACTTTTGTCAATATGATTACACTTTTGGACATTAATGCAGTACAAGATAAACAGTGCATGGGATCTATATATTCTTGAATTTCAGAACAATTTGCTTATACAGTTGTCACAAATTAAAAATGTAAAAGTTAAATGAAAAGGAAAAAAATAAATAAATAACAAGATAATAAAAAACAGGATTATCTTGTATGTATGAATTTGTATCTTTACTCACTGTCAGTTAAAACCATTCCAAGTTCCATCTCACGAGAAGATATCATTATGTAGTGGAGGCTTATTAACCTTTGCCAAAGCACCAGAAACTCGCTGGCAACTATATAGGGTATATCACTTGTTTTTTTTCCTTCCTTCATTCCTTTTTTTTAATGTTTCAAGTTCTATGAAAATGTTTCCGTATTCATTGACCTTTCAATTCATTCTTGTACCCTTTCCTTATTTTTTAATGTGTATGAAAGAGTGATTTTATGATTACTATACAAAGTTTTTGTTATTTTTAACACAAGTATTCCAAATATTATTATATTAATAAATTTGTTGCTTTTGTCATTATTCTTAAGTATTTTCTGAAAATAATCAAAGTATTGATTATGAAAATGCTATTTTTGATATCTGGACAAAGATTCTATACATCTAGAAAACATATTATCTATTGCTACAGTTATTCAGTTGTAGTCCCCAGGTATCAAGATATTTCAAAGTGTCCTGAGGAATGGTTAAAGTTTAACTCCTTTTAGATTACCTAATGAATTGATAAAAAATATTTGTTTATGTGCCAAATCAAGGAGGTGCATACAAAACAAACAAAAAGAATATTAGAAAAAAGAAGAGACAATAAAAAAATGATAGAATTCAGAAAAGTAACATACTTTTCCTGTGTTAATGGCTTATTCTTCGTAGATTAGGCATGTGTCAGTTGACGTCTATGGATCCCAGACTTGCAACTGAATAAGTCTTGGCTTTCCGCTGTAATATATGATAATTCTGCTTAGTATCATGTTTGTCATGAAACCTGCAATATATTGATGCCAGTAGTGGTTACATGTAAATACCAGTATGTTCTGTTGTTGTTGCAAAATGAAGGGTAATGCAGGTTGTCTCTACTTAATCTCCATTTAGGATCTTCTTTTGTGAACAATTTCTGTATTGTACAACATACTTTTTCCAGTTATCAAGATAATGGGACTCAGATATAGGAAAGAATCAAAGATTGAGTGTACTTGATAGTTAGTTATCAATGTTAACCTATGGATAAGGTACTCAGGGGAAAATATTCATTTTTAGATTATTCATTCATCATTTTTATTTTCTCCACGCAATTTTCGGAAGTAAGTTTTGTTCTTTTCACAAAATAGAAAGATGGAAGGCTCAAAATAGCAAGGCCAGAGATATTTAGGATTTTTTATTAGTGTTATACATATTGTTGTATACATAATGTTACACAAACTCTCTTAAATAAGCCCATTTGATATACTGTTACCACAAAGTAATGAATTACTCTTGTGCCTCACTTATGAATTATTTCTTCTCTTAGGATTGGTCTGGGGTCTCCTGGAATCGGCAGGGGACAATAATGAGGGTGTACGGCAGACAGTTGCAGGATCCCTCATAACACTGGGCCACAAGCATCCTGGCTTTGTTTTATCATCAATTCATAAGTTTATCTCGAGTCCACAGACTGCACCAAAGGTATGTCTTTAATTGGGTTTTCTATTATTTCTGTGTAGTAGCAGTGATCATGAAATGATTATATGTTATTTATTGTGAAGATCCAATACATTATTTATAATAAGGAACATTTTAGAGTTGATTATTTAAAAAGTCATCTTATTTGGTACCTTGTCTTTTCTCATTTTCTCTTTCTGTTTTACAGGTGCAGGTACAATCCATATTATACAATACAGCAGAGAACATAGTACGTGAATGTGGCGAAAAGATTGATGACAAGGAATTGATTGACACATGGACAGATGCAGCAGTTAAACTTTTAACATTGCCATCTGTGGCACCAGATCTGCAAGAAGCTGCATCAGGCCTAATGGTTGCTTTGGGTAGTAATCCCAAGCATTGTTCAGCTGTGAGTTTTTGTTTTACTTTATTCGTGAACAAATATCAAAAGTATTTGATGATATTGTAACTCAGCTTAGTAAATGTAAAAATACTTTTCTTGTAACTTTAATTAGAGAACTGCAAGATACAAAGGAAATTATATAGGCTGTTGAATTCTCATAACTTAATTTATTTCAGTACTTTTAAATAGTCGTAAGTCAATTTTTTTATTTTAAAGTTCAAAACTAGTAACGTATTTTGATGAAATGAATTAGTAGGATCTGTTTTTTATGAAATGTTTGTATACTTGATATATGTCATTGATATTAGCATGCTTTTCTTATATGAAATGTTTGAATTGATGAATTATGTCATTGGCACTATTCACACATCACCAGTATTTCTTTTTCTTTTTATCATCCCAGGTGATGGAGACTTTGGTTGGTCAAATTCAGGCTGGCACCCTCCCTTCACAAAGCATTGCAGAGACTCTAGGAGCTTTGGCTGTTGTTAATGTCAAAGGAACTGTCCCTTTCATTAAAGTATTGTTGGGTTTAATGGTGCAGTGTCTTCCATCAGTAAAGCAGGACAATTTGAAGGTGGCTTTAGCAATGATGCTGAGCAAGTTCTGTGAGACAATTCAAGAGGCAATTGCAAATAAGGAACCTGATCCTGATATCAGTGTAGAAGCTTACATGACAGAGAGTGCTGCAATATTTGAAATCTTAGTTAGCCTTTGGTTAAAAAGCTCCAATTCTCTTGTTCGACAAGAGACAATAGTTTGTCTGGGGCACATGAGTCATCTCCTCCCTAAGGAAAAACTTGAGGAACTTGCAGGGTTAGTGGTAACAACCATTCTCTCTCTGTATCGGAAGGCTTCTTCCCCTTATAGCCTTACCTTCTCCCTGGCACTAATCACTGATGCAATGCTAAAGAATAACCTCACTGAAGGCATGAAGTTCCATGTTGACCATTTACTAGGCTGTGTGTTCAACCAGGTGTGTGTTATTCCTAATTATTCAGAGCCTTTCACTGTAAAGAACCATTATGAAGTTCTCAGGTGTTATGAACTGCTGGCAAAACATTTTCCAGAAAATGTCATGACACACTTGCTGCAAAGGTTAGAGAATGCAAGTCATATGCAGAGGGTAGGTGCCTTGATAGTATCAAAGCACCTTGTAAATAGTAAGACCCTGACAAATTCTCATATATCCAACTTGATATCAGCATTGAATCCTCTCCTAAGTGATCCCAATAGTAAAGTGGTAAAGAGTTTTACACAGGTTATTGTTGCTCTCTGTCATAATTGCCATTTGGATGCACAAAGTGGAGCTCCCTTCATTACATATCTTGTGAAACACTCAGCTGGGGTATCAACACCACAGACACGAAGACCTTCTCTTGCTGAACCAGATGGGGAATCAGTGTCTGAAGTAAGTCGTAGGGTACTCCATCTTTTGGCTACTACTGTGGATGGGGCCAGGCCATTATTGTGGCCACATTTGTTGAACTTTGTATGTACTCCTGAATATGAAACGAGCTTAGCAACTACTCTGGGTTGTCTGGCTCATCTTGCTAACAACAGTAAACCAGAAGAGGATAAAGGGCCATTGCTAACAGGCCCACCGGGTCCACCAACAGCTCATGTTTTGTTGGCACGCCTTTTGGTGTTGAGCTGCATTCCTGGAGATGGAACCATAGGCACTGCAGCTCTCACACTTCTTCAAGGTTTAGCACCTCATGTCAATCCTCAAGTAGTGGAACCCTGGAGCCAGCACCTCCCACAGCTGCTGGCAACATTGCAAGATTTTACATCTAAGGGGGATGCTGAACCTTCAGCAATGCAGGTGAGAAGTGTCAAAATTGTACCCTCAAGATATTGTAAGAACAACTTTTCTTTTTTTTTTTTTTTTTGCAATTCTTGGTATGACAGATTTTATCTATATATCCAGATATACATTAATCTAGAGGATGACATTTGTAAATATTGATAAGTTGTTTTAATTCTTTCAGATGTGGCATGATTCTCTCAGGGATTTCCTTGCATCAACAATCATCAATATCAATAGTGAAGAATTTACTATTAATGTTGGAGTGGCTCAGGTCTTTATTGTTTTTTTTTTTTTTTTTTTTTTTTTTTTTTTTTTTATTATTATTATTATTATTATTATTATTCCAGAAGATGATTCTATTCAACTGTATAATATAGTAGGTTTAGTTTAAAATCTTTGTGCTCTTATGGCTTCTGTTTTTAGTGAAAAACATAATATGTGATTTAGAATGTCATTCTCATATTCATAGCTTCGGTTCATATGCATATATGTGGTCAGAAGGTACAAAAATGTCAAGCCCTCAGAGAATAATAGGTATCACTATTTGATAAATTTGAATTAAACAGTTCCAGAATTGAAAGTTTGCTTTTTGCATTGAGAAGAAATTAGATTCCCCCCCCCCCCCTCATGGTGTCTGCAATATTCAAAAAATGATAAACCTCATTTCATAGATTTTGAAGACAAAACTTTTCTCCATGCATTGATTAGGTAAAACCTTTATTTAGATCAATTGCATTGTTAGATTGGCAAACACAGCTTTGATGTTGAGAATGCAGTTAAGAGAATAGTTTTGTCGTGGATAAATCCCAAGCTGGATGTTGTAAATTATTCATATAGGAAACCTATTTTGGCAAATGCTGTATTTATCATTCAGCTCTAACCACCAGTATTGTACAGTTAAATGCCGATTCTCTTTGTAAGTAATTAAATGTTTTAGTTTACATTTCATATGTTGCTGTATGTCTCTGTGACCTCTGTATTAGTAAAGTTTTTTTATTTACAGAATACATTTGATTTTTTTAGTATCTTTTGCATTGAAACTCTACTGAACATGTAATTGTCTTATTTTTCTTTCCCTTCAGATGGATCAACTTCACTTATATGATAAGCAGCAGGCACAACTCTGTTTCTTGATGTCGCTGATTGGAGTCACGTTAAAGCACATGTCCAACAAAACCTTTGTGGCCACGACTCTTGACTCTTTGTTCAATGCTACTAGTCATAAATCAGCTGTTGGTTAGTATATGTGGTAAACTGATTCTGTATTGTAATGTCATTTGAACTTCAGGCTTACAAGAAAATATTGATTTTGCTAGGCTGTTCCTTAAGTTGCAGTAACACCATAACATTCTTTGGAAATTATGGAGGCATAAAATGGATTACTTACCTAAACCTTGGAATCAAAGAAGGCATTAAAGCAATCAGTGTAGATTACCTAGTTAAAAAGTCATCTTTTTTGTGTCCATTGTGGCTTTCTCCTCCATTTGCGCTCATAACCTGCCATGCTATCTTAAGTGCAGGTCTGTGTAAGCTTACTTTTGAACAAAGACTAAACATGATCTTGAATATCAAGATGCTCCACCATGTTAATAGAAAAAAAAAAAACATTGCTTAATATTGTCATACTTTGAGTATAGTACATTTTTTTTACAATCATTAAAATTTAACTTTGAGAAATTGCTAACAAAAGAAAAACTAGTTACAGCTGGAATGGAAAACCTTTTTGTGAAGTCCTTTCATTAAACAGTGGATATCTGATTGCTTAAAGATAGCTTAAATCAGCTGGAATGTTTTCATTTCTCTCTTGAATGTGTACAAAGTTTTTATCTAAGATAATATACTTTTAGACTTCTTTTAGCATTATAATAGATTATCATAACTGATATAAAAAAAACTGTTTATGATGTAGTCTAACTCTTTATACTAATCTTACAGAGCGTGAGAGCCTGGCCTTGTCTGTAGGTACTGCAGCTGCATCTCATACAGACCTTGTTTTAACTCACATAGATATGTGGCTCAAGACAGCAGATCCTGCCAAAAAATCACTGTCATTTTTTAATTTGATCAAGGTAATATTTTTTTATGATACTGTATATCCTTGTTCTTCTTTAGTATAGTATCAGTATTTAGTGGTATCAGTTGCGGGTATGTTGATGCTGGTATTGTGATCAATGGTCATGGAGTATGAAATAGAGAAATACAGTAAGATATTCTCAGATTTCTCTTAATTTGGTTTGAAATTAGTATTATGTTTCAGATGTTTTCTTTCTCTCTAACAAATGCCTGCTGGACTGTATATAGTTATCTTCTTGGCTTTGAGATGGGTATTTTTTCTAGTCTTTTGGGTTATTTATTTATTTCTCATCTGTCTCTGTATTTGTGGTTCCTGGAGTAAGTATTGCTTTTGTATATTGCATGACCATTATACTATATATATACATGCTGTATATAAATATTGCATAGTTTCTATTTGCTGTAGTTATATTTTGCAAATGCCACTTAATTTTATGCTTCGTATTCATGTTTTTCAAATTTGCAGCAGGATACTCGAGTAGAAGAATCCTCCTGGATGCGAGCCAGTATAGTGCTGTGTCTCGGTCAGATTTCCACTTTGGCTCCAGCAAATGTGATTGGAAGCCGTGTTGATGGCCCAATCATGCTTCATCTTCTTAATATCATCAATAGTAATAAGGTAAGGAAAAAGCATAAGGTATCAGATCATTATGTTTATGGAGTATTAAACAGATTTTCAGGCTGGTAGAGTAATGGAGATTAGTAATTTATTTATATTGAAGTGTATTATCATGTTTATGTACCATGTGAAGTACTACAGTATTGTAATATTTTCACGTTTATTGCAAAAAGAAGGAAAATGTGTATTCAGAAGGTATGCATGTGTGATGATCTAAATGATTTTCATTAATTACAGAGTGAAATGGTAAATGAAGCAGTTCTACATGCTATCAGCAACATTGCCCGAGCCCTCACTCGCCTCCCTGACTTTAAGCTTCGTCAACGACCTCTGCTTATTACACATCTAGTCAATACATCTAGGAGTGAAGGTCTTCCACATCCTGTGCTTGCTAGCGTCCTGCAGGCTTTAAGAGATCTTGCGTATCCTTCTTTGCTTAAAACATAAACTCATTTTATTTGGATTTACATAGGGTTTCTACCCCTAGATGAGATGTTAGATTATGTAAAGAGTTAGCCACAGATCACAAGGAAGGTAAACAAGCCGGGAATTTTTAAAATATAATATGAAGATATTGTATATCATAAGTGTCGGAGTTAAATCTGTTTGATTGAAATAATTGAGCAAAATGGAGGATAGGGTTGCAAAAGAAAGTATGAATATTTGTCACCCTGATATACAAAAAGAACAAGTTTGAGAAAATTGATATACAACTTGCTATGTAAAGATCCAAAGATATACTTTGAGAGATGTATTGGTATACATCACAAGAAACAGTAGTTATATAAGTGTTTGTAATGCATCAAAGTTTGATATATTAAGAAGGTGAACTATATACGTTGCAGTGGAACATGATAGCATAGTCATCAAACAACTAAAGGAGCTTTGTTAGATAGGAAAGTGACTCTGTAAACTGTTGAAGATATCAGGTTGTTGATAATATTTGCCCGTATGTTTTTTTTTTTAATTATTAGAAAGTTAAAAACCTTAACTAAAGCCAGTGCTCTTGAGCCACAGCTGAATGTCGAAGAAAGAACGATTATTCTGCAGGCAGGACTGAATGCTACATTGCCACGTTTCTCGCAGGCTGAAAATGTTGACCCATATCTTACTAAATGCAATGCCCAGCTTAGTGTTCTCATCAGGTATGTTTGTGCTACTGTTTTTTAATTATCCATACCCTTTAGCTGGAAAAATATTTTTTTCTGTATTGTAATATGTAGTAGTGGATGATAACTTTGAAGCAAAATTGCTTTGCATTTTATATACATCTACTAATTTTTTTTATATTTAGGCCCTATATTTGATATCTTTGTATCTTATTTAGCATTTTCTGAAACTTTTGGATTTAAAATGTGTTTTTTAAAGATATTTGTTCATAGAAAGCCTACTTTTAGTATTACTTGGTTCCAAAGGTTTTTTTTCTAGTGTACCTTTAAAATGTTTTCAGAACTATCATTCAGAAGGACACAAATCCTGCCACCTTAGATGATGTGACAACACTTCTGCAGTCATGGACAGTTGCACCGGCTGAGTTAATAAGGATCAAATCTGTTGAACTGCTTCACACGGCCCTTCGTACTTATTATGATCATTTAACCTTTACAATTGAGGTATGTAGGTGTTAGTTTTAATTACTTTTTTCTTTCTTTCATTCTTTCTTCACCAAAACCTATTCACTTATATATGAGCCGTGAGTGAGAGCTGTTTGTTTGAAGGTATATTTGTATGATTTTGGACATGAAGATACACTAATGCATATCTTTGGTTATACATATTATTTGATATTACTGTAATAATTTCAAACATTGCTACAGGGACCAACAAACTTCAACCAGACCTGTCATCTTCTGGCCTTTCTTACACCTCGCCTGAGTGACCCAAGCTCCCAAGTGCGAACACAAGCAGTGGGTAGTGTCTATATGGTGTTACGCATAGCGGGACGTTACAATGGCCAGACTCCTGATCATGCTGATGAGGATCTCGAGCTTCTAAAGGTTTGGCGACAATTTTCACTGTGCATAAAAGAAATTTTGCACAAGTTTACTTGTTGTTTTTCTGCCTCAAGTGATTGCTTCTCATCTTTTGCCAATCATAGTACTTTCAGCAGATTTGTCATGGATAACTTTCTGATAGTACTAGGGCATCATTTGATAGAGATACCTGTTTAAGGCCCAAGTAACTCAGTTTTTACCATTCCTCAGAATCTTTCCCTTTTTGAGATTGACAGCTGTAATGGAGAAATAGGAATAGATATTCCCTGAAAGTGAAATTGTCATGGATAACTTTCTGATAGTACTAGGGCATCATTTGATAGAGATACCTGTTTAAGGCCCAAGTAACTCAGTTTTTACTATTCCTCAGAATCTTTCCCTTTTTGAGATTGACAGCTGTAATGGAGAAATAGGAATAGATATTCCCTGAAAGTGAAATTGTTTAATATTTTTTTAAGCTAAGATTATTTATCCCAAATTGAACTATTTCATGGAATTAGATATTATTAGTTGAATGTTCTTATGTCAAAAAGGTAAAATTGGAAATAGGGTGAATGTAGGTTCTTATGTCAAAAAGGTAAAATTGGAAATAGGGTGAATGTAGCTGTGTTTTCGGTTTTGGCAAACATTAGACTTTTATTTAAATGCATATATGAAGATATTGGGATGCATTTTATTTATATTTTTGTTAATGAAGTTATGTTTCATTGTTTTCTATTGGTAGATATTTCTGCCAAAACTATATGTTTTAGTCATTTTGATGGCTCTCACCTTTAGGGAAGAGTATCACTTCTTTAAATTGAAATGAAGTTGAAAGGAAACCAATACTGAATGTGTGCTATTGCTACACATGAGGCCTACAATGAACAGTGACTTCTGACTGCACACACAGAATGTAGGCAGCAGTGCAATAGCCAGGGTATAACATTTAAGAAACTAGGTGTTAATTGAGACATTGATTAGGATTGCTCAATATAGTACTCATTTTTTTCTTATGTTTTACAGACTGCTGAAGAACAGATATCAGTTGATGACCCACAGAGGATAGACAATCTTGTCAAAGATGTTGGCACGGTAAAATGTATTGAATATTCTAAAATGAAATTGAAATGTTACATACAGTTCACTTGTCAGACCTTCCACAATGACAATATTTGAGAAGAGGCAAACAAAATATTGAAAACATTCTTGTTCATTAACTATTCCCCATGTCCCATTTTTTCAGGTCATCAGCAACAAGTTAACATTTGTTCAGCTGAGGTCATTCTTATCATGTGTAGTTGTGGGTCTGCAGGACAAATTAGGAGAGTCCTCATCAGGAGTTGCACTTGTAATAACCATAATATTTACTCTCCGTGGACATCAGCTTCACCAGCACATTAAGGAGATGCTAGGCAAGTTTCTGTTGAAGTATAATTTTGTATTGTTAACATCGGATTGTCTTTTGTTATTTTTCATAAGAATGATATATAGACCTTATTAAGGCCATTGATAGAGTATTTCTCTCTTTGTAGATTCAATATATACTCGCCTAGAGAAGGTTAGTCACAAAGAGACTCGAAAAAGATCTGTGGAAGCGCTGACTCGACTGTCTGCTCACAACTTGAATCTAGTCTTGGATACTATGCTCAATTATCCTCTTCCATATGAAAGGTAGGTAATACTTTTTTCTGTTATTAGTATCTTGGTTCCTTGCCCTTTCTCATTGTTTTGGACATTATGTATGGAAAATGAATGAAAATTGATTTTTTAGCTGTAATCTAATTCCCAGATGTAATTTGTACATATGAATCTGTCTGTAAATAAGAAATATGTATTTTATGAGCACTAGTTTAGCATAAGACCATGTAGCATGATCAGAAATCATTCCTTTCACAGAACATTATCATTGATACCTGTGATAATGCTACAAAAGTGTTTCTCACCAGTAGTTTTATGTATCTCCACTAGAGCTTTCTATCTTGAAAAAATGACAAAGAGTTATGTAAATAGCTAATTAATTTTAGTAACTAGATTTTCTCCATCCTTATCTTACTGACAAAGTCTCACCGTCTTTTTTTCAGTTATGGTGTAAAACACTATAATATAAGATGTGTAGAAAGTCGTGGCTTAAGCTAAATAGTAAAGTAATTTTCTCTATATCATAGTTTTCTCTCAACAGTGGTGTGTCAGGTACATGGCGTAATTTAGGTCATGATCCAAAACTTTGTGAATCAGCTTTAGAGCATCTGAAGCAGATTATGGAGCGCACCCAGCTGTTTACTGAGCAGCCTACAGCTACTGAGTCGACTGTCAGGATTGCTACTCTTCCCCCACTCTCAGTAAGAATGATAGGGAGGCTTCAGAACTGTCAGAACCATTGTCATTCAGATTATATGCAGTTGTTGGATAGACTTGGAAAAAAAAGTGTTTTCAATCCAGAAAACATTGTAAGGCCTGTGATATTTACTGTGGCCATCATTACTTTGTCATCAAGCTTTGTAACCTATTAAAAGCAAGGTTGTGTTACACAGTCACATGAATGACCTTGCTTGGCCTGACCATGTGAATGCAGAATTTTAAGAGTGACTGTTGTTATAACCGAGATCTAAGAAGTGTTTATTCCTTGGCCAATTAGAAAATTAGAGCAATCATCAAGTGCAGTGCACATAGGTTTTGACAAGATTTGTAGAGGTCTGAAGGTCAGTTACAGTTAAATTTCTCAGTTAACCAGTTGGTGCTGGGAGTATATGAATATATGTACTGTCTACTGTGGTTTTGTATTATAAATTTAATGTACTCATACATGACTCTAGAGGTGCTTAGTCACCAAGGAGACCCACCTGATCTCACTACTTTACCCCTTTCCATGAATTTTCAGAAAGTATTTATTTTTTGTCTTACCTTATTATTTATAACAGTGCATTATTGATAACGTTAATAGTAACGATAATGATATTTCTGACAATGATAAAAGTAAAAGGCAGAAATACTTCATTCACATCTAAGTGTAAGCAAAATTGATGAAACAAAACTACAGTGAATCTACTTGGCATTAATTGGGAAAAGAGGCATTAGTGATAGTAAATATAAAAAAAATCCCTGCTTATTCCTGTGCTTTATTGTCAGTGCAGAGTTAAGTGTTATTTATGAGCAAAACCTTACTGACACATATCATGCTCATGTCATAATTTTATGCCTTGGTCAGGAAGGTAGAATATAGCTCTACCTTCCCTAAATTGAACTGTAATACCTATTAGAAGTCAGACAAGTACCATCCTAATTTAAAGCGAACTAATCTTTATAAAGGTTTTTATTATTATTAGAATAAAATACCAAGGTTTCTGGTATGATAGATGTACAAAACTCATTATATAGATATTGATGGAGGGTGGCCGCATATGCAATATTTTGAAATACCCTGCATGTTACTTCATGTAATGAAAAAAACAGTGTCAGTGGTAGACTTTCACTATGGTGACAGTAGTTAATCCTTAAATTCATAATTTTTCTCTCATTGTCTTTCTTTGGAAACTTGAATGTATTCACATTCATACTTGCAGCCCCCCCCCCCCCCACATCCACACAAAAACAAAAACAAATCGTATATGCATAATGATATTGTATATGTTGATAATATATTATATGTATGACCTATATGTTTTATATATCAATTATATGTTATATATATTGATTATATATTGTATATATTAATTATATAATTTAGATATTTTCATATATATCTTTATATGCCCAGATTGTGTGTGTGTGTGCTTGGGCATGCAAGCGTGTGTGTGAGCATATGCGTGTGCATGCATGTGTGCGTGCGTGTGAGTGAGTGAGTGAGTGAGTGAGTGAGTGAGTGAGTGAGTGAGTGAAAATAGGAAAGTGACATCATGGCTCCATTGTAATACTTATCATTTGTTTTCAGACAGTATTGTTTCACATTTAATTGTGTTTGTAAATATTATTAACATCTACATTTACACTACAAGGCATGACTTATCTAACTAACATCTATTTCAGAGGACTCAGGCACAGATCATTTGAACTAACATTTTTACTGCAGTAGAATGTTTATGCCAAAACATGTTGGCCTTTAGGAATAGAGCAGTTCAGCATTTGCTATACCATATCAGTTTTTTCTGGGGTCTTTATTTAGTCAGTTGATTTCGGTAATATAGGTAATTTTGATGTAACACTGTTGCATATTAAAGTTAATTAATGTACTGCATTTTAAACAGGCTATTTGTGGTCTCACTGAGCTCATTCATGACCTGAGAACTCCTGTTAAGAATGAGCAAGAAGACAAAGACTGGGAGACACTGGATGTGAGTGAACCAGAAGAAGAGCTACAAACCTGGCCAGACTCCCAGAAAATTATTTCTGAGAATTTCCCCTCTTTAACAGCACTGCTCTTACTCTCATATGGTTCTTATGTGGGGGTTGTGGCACCACTTCACCAAACAGGGGGCACTAACTCAAAGAGTGCCTTTAATTTCATCCCAAACAGAGGAGCAACTGGACTTGTACCAACAAAGTAAGTCATTTCAGGTTATTTGGAGTATCTTGTATTGGTGTATCTATTTTGATTTATCTGTTATTATTACTGTTGTTATTATTATTTTTAAAGTGGTGGTAGTAGTAGTAGTAGTAGTAATGATAATGATAATGATAATAATTATCATTATTATTGAGTATTATCCAGTTATAGATTTAATGTAATGAATTTGACGGATCAGTGGTTATATACTATGACAACATATTGATATCCATCTATATTAATCCAATTAGACAGTGCTAAGGTATTGCCTTTCTTTTCATTTACAGAATTGTTCTGCAGTGTCTTAAATCACTAATAGATGTGATAGACTGCAAATCTCTCAGTGTTGTTCTGACAAACAAAATCAGAGATGAGGAAGAAGATACCACTGAGATATTCCTGCATAGCTTATCTGAAGTCACAGCGTATGTCCCTTTTTACTACAACATGAATTTTGTAACCCTTGAAATGATAAGGTGGTTTCAGATATACTTTAAGATTTTATTACACTAAGCCAATTCCAAAAGAAAACAGTTTTTGGTTACATTTTATTTGTATTGGACTTCTTAAAGCATGAATTCGTTTCAGAACCCCTGAAAATTGAAGTGATTTAGAAGATAATGTCAAATTCTGTAAAACTGTATTTAGCCGATTGCAGCAGATTATAGAATTTTTTATACTTTTGTCATATTTGTTGGTCAACCTAATTAAGACTTGCCAATGATATAAGCTAGTCATCCAGCTCTTGTTTTAAAACATTTTACATTTGTATATATATATATATAATATATATATATATATATATATATATATATATATATATATATATGTATTTGTGCATGTATGTATGTATGTGTGCATGTATGTATGTATGTGTGCATGTATGTATGTATGTGTGCATGTATGTATGTATGTATGTATGTATGTATATATGTATATAGACAGATAGATAGATGTAGATATTTCCCAATTGTATATATATAAACAAATACAGATGTCTTATCTTTGTCAACAGGATGTTAGTTCATGAAGCACCTAAACACATAGAGAAGCTTGTCAATCATCTAGACTCTCACCATGCATATGAGATGCAGAGAGTTACTGTTGCTGCTGTCTTTGCTCAGGTAAGACATATTGTATCAACAGTCTTTGTGCTACATCCATTGACTGCATAGAACTGATAGTGATGGCACAAATAAAAATGTTAGATTGATTATGTTTGATATTTACACATATTTCTATAAAACAGTTGATTGCTGAAAAGTGTGGCGGGAACTATGAACTTCTGGAAAGTATTACGGATGGTTTACTGTCAAGGTTGAATGATCGATCTGTACATGTCCGCCGTCTGGCTGTGCGAGGACTTGCCAATTTTGCTCATCTTCAGCAAAATCAAGTAAGTTGAAAATATCCTAGTAGTCAGTTCCTATCAAAGAAGAGTGTATAGGAACTTTAAGATATTGTTTTGACTGGTGAGTAAAACATTAACACGGGCAAAACTTTACAGATATTCATATAAGTTCTACCTCTACTTTGTAAGTTCTGTTTCTGGTCTTTTCTGAAAAGTCAGGTATATCATATGTTAAACAAACCAGTAGTAAGTTTATTTTTACTGATTAGTCATCCTCTTCTGCAACATATCTTCATAATCAGGTCTGACAGTTATCTGTTATATTGTTTGTGTGAGACTGAGTATGATGCAAATGATTATTTTCAGTTTTATGCATATGTATATACAACATATTTGTCTGTGTCTCTACACGCTTAGTACACCACCAATTTTTCAGTACCCTTGGTTTCAGAAGTGTACTGGATTATGTATCTCTTTTGCAGAACCAATTGTGGTCAGACAATAATAATTCAGTGATATTCCTCTGACCCTTGAATTGTACAACTCCAATATCTCTAAAGCATTGTGGATCACCAAAGGCAAGTCAGTTTGCCAAGAAACCATATCTGGGGGTAAATGCAAGTATAGGAGGTTGAGCTCTAGAAAAAAGATGCAAGGGCTGCATCAATATCAAACCAATAATGATGGGTAAAAAAACTAGTAAAATCAGAAAAGAACAGACATCCATCAGTGCACTCTGCTTCACTTATAAGTAATTGCAAAGCAAAGCTTGTAGTAGGATTTTGATAAATGTGTGTATGTATACATATATATAAATGTTTATGTGTTTATTTATATATTTTTCTATATTTATGGATAAGAAAAAAATAGATAGAAAAATATATAGCCAAATGAATATGAAAAAGAAATGGATTCACATTGTTCTCGTTACAGATTTTCTTGAACAAATATGTTGATAGGCTTAATTTTCAGTAGTCAGATTAATGAGTTGACCAATTTTTTAAAAGAAAATAGGAAAAAATTAGCTGTATGGTTAAGCAATAATAACTGTCACAGAGAAGCTTATGAACCAGCTTTTCTTTGTTTAGTTGATACTATAGACACCCTGAAATGATGCACCTAAGTATGTTGCTAATATTTATAATTTCATTGACAGGTATTGTGACATTTCAGAATTTTGGCATATTATGATATAGTTCATGTCAATTTGTACAAGAGTTAATGATTGTATGTTTTTATTTATATTTGAAAGTTGTATATGTTGGGAGGAAACTCTTGGTGAACATTAATAGTGAGATTTAAACGGTTTTTCTCATAAACCTTTTTTGAGTAAGAGCAAAATGTGACAGAAAATGGTTTATCATTTCAGTCATGGTTCATTATTATTTGTTTATTTTCTTCCACCAGATGCTTTATTTTTTTCTGGTGTTTCATGCATGCAGCCTAGCTTACTTGTTCGATACCAGATTCTAAAGTGAAATGGTGATTTTATTTTTTGAGTCACAAAAAAAAAAAAAAAAAGTAAAGAAGAAAAAAAGGTTTGAAAATGTATTGCAGACTGATGTCCTATCCACACTGGCAGTAATTTGGTGATAGTGGGCTAAAGTTGAGTTTTGCAACCTTTTTCACTTAAACTCATGCAGTTCAAATGTTTTCTGAATGACAATATATGAAAAAAAACTCATTGTTGACTCATAAGCAAGTTTATGCAGTGAAGACAGACAAAGAATTTAGCTCACTCTCTGTCCCTCCTGCCTGCACTTGCTGGCTGTTAGTGTGGACACACACCTTGAGACTACATGGTGGAAAAAAGTCATTTCTTGTAAGAGTCTTTGTTTTAGGGAATTATATAACAGTTTAAAACTTTGTTTTTTTAGTGTATATATTACCAGTCTTTTCTATTCTCTTATTTTTCTCTTTTTTTTGTATAAACACAAGATTAATAATCATCTTACAGCATTAGACTTGAAATGAGTATAATCTTTTT